GCCTAACGCCAGACGATTTAACTCGTCAGGTGGAGAGTGCTCCCACTCAATGGGTTAAAGGCTTATTTTGATGAACATTAGGGAAAATGAAAACAAGTGTAAATTGACTTTATTAGTGACGAAACACTTTAGATAAGAAGTGCTTATGTTGCATAATTTTTAAACTATGAATTACTGGTCCAAAAGTATCCCACAAACGGCCACACTGCACTGTTCTTACCCGAAGCCCTGTGTAGCATTTCCAAGGTCAATTTAAAATGTTTCATGCATTTGTTTACCATTATGCAATTTGTTACTTCTTGTAAAACTTGTGATCGCTGCCAACGTTATGAGAAACTGAAAACCCAAGCTCCGGAGCTTAAATCAATTAAAGTAAACAAGGCATTAGAATTGGTTGGAATGGATCTTATTGGTATGCTTCTAAAGATACTTAAATTCAACTTCACACCTTAAATCATGTGAATGAATTTGTGACAAATCTGTTTTTGAAATATTAGTTTTTGGTAAATCTGTAACTCAAATGCCAAATAGAATACATACGTGTTAGAATACTTAAGGTGGCTCGATATAGTTATCACGAAAACCCTGCTCAAGAATCGCGAACTCAAAACCGGGTGACCATTTTTACGCGCAGGTCGCGGAAACTGATTAACAAAATGACAGAACTTCCAAAATGACCTGACGTAAGCAGCTGCTCGCGCCATCTCACGTCATTTCGCATGTTCTATATAGCGTTTTATGTCAATTGCTGACGTCATTAGAATTTTCCATTTTAGAAAAACAATGCGCTATATCTCTTTATTTTGTCTGGTGACCTATGTTCAAATTTTGCATGCTGTATTTCACCGCTAAAAACTTTCATTATACAAAAAATAAAAAAATTCTGTAATGCCAAAAAAATTTTACCGAAGAATATGACATTTTCGCATTTTCCAAAAAAATGGCATTACAGAATTTTTTTATATTTTGGTAATTGTTAGCTTTTCGTCCAAGTACAATAATGCAAGGAAAAAAATTGGGGGTCACCATGCTTCTTTTCCAACTATACGAGACGAAAGGCCATTTTGGAGTGTATTTTGTACACGTATGTCGTCATAGCAACGAACTATCTGTTACTAAAACTAATATAATTTGAAAGTAGAGATATCGAAATATAGAAAAAACCCAATATCTGCTGAATATATTCTAAAAATGCATAGTGTTGAACACCTGAATTTTTGAAAACTGTATCGAGCCACCTTAAGTATTTCTAGACGTTGATCTTAATATAATTATATCTATTTTTATTAAAGATTGTCAAATTATTTTTGTTATATTTTCAAGGGCCTCTTCCTACTACTGATGTTGGGTACAAGTATGTCCTTACGTTCACTGATTACTACACCAATTAAATTTGCGGACTTCTATCCTTTAAAAGAAAAAGCAGCTGCTGGGATAGCACGCTGCATCAAAACATTTGTTTGCAGACACCGTAAATAAAGTTTGTACAGTGCTTGAAATGTAGGCTGGCTCTCTATTTGCAAAGCTTACCATTACAATGATTAGGTACGGTACGCTTGAAGTGGAATACAGCCTTTATAGGCATCTAGTACAATTGATGTAATAACATATGATAATACTAAAATGTTTTGTTTGATTATTCTTGTAGATGGGGTGCTCCATGCAGACTCCTGTCAGACCAAGGACATGAATAATTAACGTGCAATAATATAATCCTTAAAGCCCATTTTCCACTAGGTCAATTTGTTTGTGCAAACAGTACAAAAGTAGAAACTGATGTGTCTATTTTGTGGCAAACTTTTTCGCTGACCAATCACATTATCAGTGAAGATTTTTCTCTTTGTGGCAACAAATTCACCTCTCTAGAGTGAAAATTAGACAAAATGCATGATACATCCCTAAAATTGCTGGCAGAAGTATGCAGTCTCCGAGTGCCCTCTAGTTGGATTTTGCAAATGTTTGCAATTTTGCATGCACCTATAACTTGGTGAGATTAAATTATTACAAGCTTGTTTGTGTTTTCAATAGGTCAACACAGAGGTTTGCAGGCAGTTTGGTATCACTCGTTCTCTTACAAGTGCTTATCATCCTCAAACCAATGGTCTTGATGAGCGGACCAACCAGACACTCAAAGTGCCACTGGCAAAATTAGTCAATGAGCATCAAAACAACTGGGATGACTTTTTGGAAGAAGTCGCATTTTCAATTCGGACACAGAAACAAGGTTCGACAAAGTTCAGTCCATTCTTCCTCATGTTCGGTCGGCATCCCAGGATACCAATAGAGGTACTGTAACTATTTGAACCCATAAAATGTTGTAATATGGACAAGCTACCCTTGAGACCAACATCCCTGATTGCAGTCTTAGTTTTCATCTGCCCTCAGTCACATTTGCATTCAAGCTTTATGTTGCACCACAAAACATTATATAAACCTTTATGAGTGTTTAAAACAATGACTAATTATAGATGGAAAATGTGGCAAAGAGGATGGGATTTTTGAGTTGGAAACTCCCTCGTCTGAAATCTTGGAAGAGATGACATATGACCGATCAGAAATGATGAACTGTGTTGACCAACAGGTGTGTATTATTATTGTTCCTGATGTTTGTCTTTTATGTATATCGTAACAGCACAATGTTTTGATATGGTGTAGGTTTCTTAACATACAGTACCCAAGATATCAATGAGTAAAAACAATATTTGATTAAAATTAAGTTGTAACTATTATGAGCTAACTTTCAGAAAACAATGCAAAACTCTTCTCCTTGTTTACAACCTAGTCCAACATCAACAATGAGCAACTTGGTGTCTTCTTGAGTCTGAAATATTTATAAATAAATAATAAAACAATCATTGAATTCGGTTCTCACAGTGGGCCTTCTCGCAGTGGTTCTGAGGCTTCGGAAGATAACACAAACCCTTCAAACCTCAGCCTTAATAATTCCTCATATCTTACTCGACCTCATTCAATGATTGTTTATTACTGTATTTTACTGTCTGACACCAGACAATTTACTTGTCAAGGGGAGAGTCGTGTGCTTCAATGGGTTAAATTGATTTAAATTTTACATGTTCAAGCCAACATTGAAAAACCCCAAGCAAAACAGAAAAAAGATTTTGCCAAGAGAAAAAACAAAGGGGTCAAGGTTTTCCAGCTTTCAGTTGGTGACCTGTTCTCCGCAAAGTTATGAAGAACATAAGCCGCAAAGGTGGAAAGTTAGATGCTTTGTGGACTGGCCCATACAGATATGACAAAAAATATCATGACTATTTTATAAGAGTGAAATTTTTCTCATGACAAGAACCACTTGGACATCAAAGCCTGAATTAACAGTTGGACATTGGAATCTTCCGACCAAATCACAGTTTTTCCAACCGAATGCCAAATTGGTCGGATATTGTTCCTGGAGCCTGAAAATCAACCTTCTTGAAAGACTGGGTTAACTATAAGCTGCCAGTGCCTGCAATCATCCAAAGAACATTAGATGTAAATGATTTCACTATAGATAATAAGTATTACTTGTTTTTCTCCAGGATTGTTGAGATTGATCACCATCAACGTGTCTCGTTGGCAAAGCTAAATGGGGATGTGCTGAATGTCAAAGTGCCTTATGAGCAAATTAAACCTCATACTGCTAGTGTCTTGCACAAGCCAAAATCATCTCCAGCTGTTCCGCAAGAACCAAGGTTTGAAGAAATCAAGGCAAAAGAAGTGGAAGAAGAGCCATGCCAATCCACTGGCCAAACTGACACAAATTAGCAAGTTCCCAAGGCTCAACTTCAGGCCAGCAAAAACGAAACTGATGATGTTGTCTGCTGTGGTGAAAAAAAGCGGAAGAAAAGACCAATTGGACCATTGCTAGTCACACCAGCTCTCGAATACAAAGACTTTCCCAAACTTTTACCTGTGATTGAAAGTGGGGAATGGTTGACAGATGAACACATTGACAATGCACAGGCTATTCTCGCAGAGAATTTCCCCACATTGGAGGCTTGCAGGCAACATGGGTGTTCATTTCAATCGGTGCCAATTTTCTATGCTAATATTTAAATTATGGCTCATTTGAACAAGCTAACGAATGAGGTCAAAATTACCAAGGTACATATTTGAAGCTGTAGGCCTACATGTAGGGATCGCCCCTCAGTGCCCTCACCCCACTCCTTCATTGGCAATGCTTACAAACTCCTGCGACATTCATAATTCAATATTAAGTTCAATGACTTCAATCAAGTGAGATGTTCAAAAAAATTCTGTTATAAATATTACAGTATCAAAAATTTTGACTTTGTAAGAAATAAATCAGCTGCAGAGAGGCCATCCTGTGAAATTGTTGTTACGAGTTGTAAACCAGCAAAATAAAATTCCTTTACAATATAGTCCTGAGATGAGATTGTACTCTCTATCATATATCATGTTGACAAGACAACATGCTATGAATGACAGCGAAAAAAAAGAGCCAAAATCTACTCAAATTTCTTCCAGTGATAAGGCAAAAATGAGTAAAAATAGAAAAGATGATAATACGAACGAATGTAGCAAAAAACCGATCAAAAAGAGCAAGATATGAATAAAATGGACAAAATGTTTGAAATGATGAAATCCATGATGGTGAAATTGGAAACTCTAGACGAAATCAAGGAGCGCATTCTATGCGTTGAAAAAGATGTAAAACAGATGAAAGATTCGATTGAATTCGTTCACGCCGAAGTTAACGATTTGAAAGATGAAGACGAGAAAACGAAGCGGTCTGATGAGGAAAATAGAAGGAAAATCCGCGAGTTAGAAGATACAAACCGTCGGCTACAAGAAAGCGTTGTCGACCTTAAAGCGCGATCTATGCGTGATAACCTGCTTTTCTTTAACGTAAAGAAAGACGAAAAAGAAAACACAACGATGTAAAACAGATGAAAGATTCGACTGAATTCGTTCACGCCGAAGTTAACGAATTGAAAGATGAAGACGAGAAAACGAAGCGGTCTGATGAGGAAAATAGAAGGAAAATCCACGAGTTAGAAGATACAAACCGTCGGCTACAAGAAAGCGTTGTCGACCTTAAACCGCGATCTATGCGTGATAACCTGCTTTTCTTTAACGTAAAGAAAGACGAAAAAGAAAACACAACGGAGAAGATTTATGATATCCTAGAACAAAATCTAGAGATTTTTTACGCAAGAAGCAAGGTAAAGATCGATTGTTCCCACCGTGTCGGAAGGAAACGTGTTAGCCAACGAAAGCCTAGAGCGATTGTTGTGAAATTTAATTATTTCCAAGACCGTGAACAAGTCAGACAAAATGCGAGAAAACTAAAAGGTTCGCGTATTGGAATTGCAGAGCAATTTCCCGAAGAGATCGAAAAAATTAGACAGACTTTACACCCGGAAATGAAGAAGGCCAAAGCGCAAGGTCACCGAGTTCGGTTGGTTCGAGACAGACTATATATAAACAATGTTAAGTTCAAACCTTCCAGTTAAGTGTCATTATTATTAATCTCTGTATATCACCCCTATTATTTTACTACTTATCTATAAGTCGATATGGCTAATCTATCATTAGGTAAGAAAAAATGTTTTTCTAGTTTTCTTGAAATAAGTAAAAATCATAAAAGTATAAATTGTCTTACATGCGGGGGTTGGTTTCACGCGCGCACTTCATGCGTATAAAAATCACCTCTTGCATGTCAACAAACAGAAGTTGATATCTGCAACATGTGTTTAAGTTGCGCGCTTCCCTTTTACTCAATTGACGATTTAGAATTGAATTTTATTCTTGGTGATTTCAATCGAATTCCTAGCGATGAGGATATGGATAGACTAACACAACTCAAATTTAACCCTTCTGATACCAACTACAGAATTTCAAACTGTCCAAATTATGAGAGCTATATGTTTGAAAATTTTGATAGTTTAACATGCGATTATTACCTACCAAACGATTTTAACTCGTCCTCAAATCATACTAATAATAATAAATATCTATCTATACTGAATCTTAACATAAGAAGTATAGCAAACAAGTTCGATTGCTTTAAGAATCTATTGAGTACTTTAAAACACCCTTTCTCTATAATAAGTTTAAATTAACGGAAACCTGGCTTAATGATCACACCAGTATAAACTTCAACCTTAATAATTACAATTTTGTTAGTTCCAACAGAGCAAAGAGAAAAGATGGTGGAGTAGGACTTTATCTTTCGAATAATTTAAACTACAAAATACGAACTGATCTTAATATGCACGAAGAAGGAATTATTTAATCACTTTTCATAGAAATAATCTCAGCAACAAGTAAAAATATTATTGTCGGTACTATCTATAGACCACCAAGTGGCAATTTTGAAATTTTTGTAAACAAGTTTAATGAAATTTTAACTAAGGTTGATAAAACGAACAAAATAACTTATTTGACTGGAGATTTTAACATTGACCCACGGGCAATAGGACAGGTGTAGTGTTGTTAAATAAAAAGTTAGAAATGGTATTGTACTTACTCATGTATTATAATTATGTTTAGAAGATCAGAATATTCATAAATTCTTATTTTGTTTCATAAATAGTTCTTTAATATTCGAAACAAATTCCACATCTACTTTGTCTGCCGCCGCCATGTTTACTCGCCCCAATCTACATACTACACGGCATTGCCACCCCTCCTGGCAAGATAATAAACAAGCGAGAAAAATTAAGGAGAAAATAAGAGGGTAGGAACATCGTTGTCATAAGCTGGATGCAGTGACACTTCCATATATGGCACAAACGTATCCATAACTTCCATATATGGCACAAACGTATCCACGACGCGTTTTATAACGTTTTATTTGACGTAGGGATGACGTGTAATGCTGCTTCCCGCCTATGACGATTTGAATTAGTCATGTGATACAAGATTGAGAAAGCCGATTCGCCCAGAACGATGACACGCCCACGAAACGCCCACAATGTTCCTACCCTCTTATTTTCTCCTTAATTTTTCTCGCTTGCTTATTATTTTGCCAGGAGGGGCGGCAATGCCGTGCAGCATGTAGATTGGGATGAGTAAACATGGCGATGGCAGACGAAGCAGATGTGGAATTTGTTTCGAATATTAAAGAACTATTTATGAAACAAAATAAGAAGTTATGAATATTCTGATCTTTTAAACATAATTATAATACATAAGTAAGTACAGTACCATTTCTAACTTTCTATTTAACAACACTAGCACTACACCTGTCCTATTGCCCGTGATTTGATGTCCCACATTCGTGAGACATCAAAGGTAACTATTTATAGTGGTTATTTTCATCCTGCTCATCAGCACTACACTGATGAGGCCCTAAAAGGCCGAAACAGGACCATATATATATATATATATATATATATATATATATATATATATATATATATATATATATATATATATATATATATATACATATATATATATACATATACGAAAATTGTCACGCCCAAAATTTATACAAATGTTTAACAAAATAAACATTTGTATAAATTTTGGGCGTGACAATTTTCGCATGTTCATAAGCTCATTGTACGTTTTTTATTATTGACACGGTTTCTAATTTACTATAGCTTCGATCTCGATAATACAAAAATGTTTATCTGGGGCCGAGTCTGGAGCCAGTTGTATCAAGCCCGTTTAGCTTAAACGGTGGTTAAGCTCAAAACAGAAAGCAACTAAGCAAGTCATCGATTTATTCAACAATCAAGCTAAACGCTTCGTTTCGTGTAAAAAACGCGGCCGTACATATTAGAAATAATTCGTTTTTTCAATTCATTCATTAGAATGATCATTTTATATGATAACCCGTAAACATACTGACCTTGCATATAAATATCTAATGAAATATAAATTGTCAAACACAAAAACACTGGTGGTCATCGAGGTTTATGACGATTACGGCTGATTTGTAATTTATCCGTTCTTCTTATAATCGTTGTTTACAATAAATTGCAAAAATAATGCCCAAAATTCCAAATGCACGCAGTCAAAAGTGATGTGAAGTCTACAAGAAATCTCGTGAATACAAAATTACTCGTGCTAAACAAATAACTCTGAAATGTCGCCTTCCCCCCCTAAACACGTGATAAGTCAATGCTGCCATCTACTTCCGGCTGGTCGAAATTGACCAGCCGGAAGTATGTCTGCTTGCCAGATGTTACAAGTCTCTCTTCTCTTTCCTCCTCTCCCCCTCAGCGGTACGTCATGTAACGTACAATATAGTGGGTCTTCACAAAGAGAGACTTGGAGCAAGTCTACATAAAGGCATGCATCATAATCGCCTAAAATCTCGCTATCAACTGCTTCTACAATCCTTCACAATATATATTGAGACTTGCATATTTATCTATAAAATCAGCAAATTCCTACCATCAGGAGCTCGTCCTTTCCCCCCTCCCCCTTCAAAACAATGTTGACTGTTATTGCAAGCATTGTGCTTCACAATTTCAACTCAATCACGAGCAACATTGCTCTGTAGGGGGGAGGGGAGAGGAAATTATACTTTCACATGGGTAGTCTCATGCATAATTTTTGTGAAGGATTGTAGAGTTCCAATTTCGTGACTGGTATCATTTGACTCATCCTCCATAATATACCCAGGAATATAATTTTATTCTGAGTCACATCGAGAACCATGAGTGCTGGAAAACATACAAAATATAAAGAAATGTATAATGCCCGTCGTGATTAAGTTCCTACGTCACACCAGGCTCGTCCCAGACTCTTGTTGATACACGACACTTTTACGAAAATCGCTGTTTAGAGCCTCATATCTCGGGAAATAAAAAGAGAAAACCGAAAAATGTTAAAGAACCTATTAAAATTAACTAACTTTTTGTCTGCTATTCAAAATTAAAAAAAAATTGTGACATAAGCACTTTAATTGCTGCGGAAGCGAGCGAGCGACTTTGTGTAAGTGGGTATTACCGAAATCAGTAGAGTGTCTTTTCCGGAAGTTGAAAAGACAGTCGAAAGCCAGTAGAAACGTTCATGTTTTATGACGTCACGGTGAAGGAATGCAGCGTGGAACTTGTAAGTTATTTTACTTATTAGTAAACTTTATTTAGTTTGACAAATTGCCAATGGCTCGCCAAACACAAAACAAGCTTTTGAGCAAAGGGAGAAGTTCTAGGGTGAGGCGGTAAAACCGATGTTTTTTGAAAACCGAATTACTCGATGTTACTTTTGGAGAAAGACCGGAAAACCGAAAAAACCGGAGGAAAACCGAAATCGAACCATACTTATACGGGTCTGTTGCAAATGAATCAACTTTGGCATTTACACACGAAAACTAAAGAGATTTTGTTTAAAATTTGATAACATCTTCAAAATACCTTACGTTTAATATCATTCTACAATTTCGCGCGAGCTTGAGGTCTTGAACGGATAAGCGGATCAAACGATGGTGAATTTTGATTCGCTGGTAATAAAGGCGGACGTCTGCGAAGACAGGTTTAAGATATTCATTTAGCGTGTTGTGTCTTTTTTAAACCGTAGTTTCGATTTTCGAACATATTTAAAAAAAAAAAACCCGGTTCACTCGGTTTTTTCGGGTTGTTTTGGTCGGTTTTCGGTTTTTTGTAGAAACCGCCTCACACTAGGGAGAATCTTTATTCGTGGGAAGGCACTTAAGTAAAGTTACTAATAAGTAAAATAACTTACAAGTTCCACGCTGCATTCCTTCACCGTGACGTCATAAAACATGAACGTTTCTACTGGCTTTCGACTATCTTTTCAACTTCCGGAAAAGACACTCTACTGATTTCGGTAATATTTTTGTTTCAAAACATACTAGCGCAGTGCATTGTGGTCATACGCGATCGGAAATGTGCAGTAAGCTATTTTTCCGTTGTGTTTCCACGCCGTGGAACCTTACGTTCATAGACATTAAGACATACAAAGACATACTAGACTTACATTGATTCAGTTCACTGTTCAGCACAATTTCGGAGCAAGATAGTTCTGCTTTGCTTTATGAAAACATATGTTGATAAATGTTTTGATAATTAGATACATTTCTCTCTTCTGTCTAATTTTATCCTTAATTCGAATTTGGACGTTTTAATATTCACGTGGAAGCCCAAGTATTGAAAGGGCTTCTGCAATCCGGCTTCCGATCTTAGTTCTTTAATAAGATAATTAAGCACAAGTTTTCAAAACGATTTGGTGTTCTAATTGCCACTCTTCGTTCTTTTTGCATCGATTCGTGCGTTGTTTACTCAATGGACTTTGGGCACAGTCAGTTCTATATTTTTGTAAAGTTTTGGTTTCTTAGTGTAATAAATCTGTGTATATAATTTGGTAAATGCGCCTAGCAGTAAACAGACTTGATATGAAATCTGATAGCAAAAACTTGTGTTATTAAATTCACGGACATGTTTAATATCTGTCACCTGTGGTTGCCTTTAACCCCTGGTCTTTGCAACTTATATACATTGCTTTTTCTCAGTTCCACTTATGGCAAGAATCGATTCCTTACTGCATTGCTTCAGGCCTTAAGCTCACAGCTCACTAGTCGCTGAGGGTAATAACTGTGCTTGATATAAATTGTGCTATTTACTGTAGTACTATTTGCCTTTAATGTCTGCAGCAATCCCTACCTGGCAGGTACCCTAGTTATGATGTCTAGAAAACGTAGTGAAAAATATTCCGCCAAAAAAAGTTACAGACTAGTCGTGAACACATGTCAACAAAAAATTTCCAGCATTTTAATTAAATTATAAGAGCTGCACTAGATTCAAAGTAAGCACTTTTTAGAAAAGAGAAACTATTTTTCTGAGATATACTTCCTTTTTTATCCTAACAAAACACATAAAAAGTTCGAAAAGAAAATAATTGTGAACATTTTAACAATCCAGGTTTTGCAATTAACGATGCCATAATTTTTTGCCATGCATGTGTCATAACATATACCTGACACAGGCATATAAAGGCATACGATCCACCAGTAAACGTTTTGTTGGAATACACCAAATGTTTTAGCATACATTAATCCCGGGCACTTACTGCCGCACACCTAGCTGCCCCACCCAGTCCCAGAATACCCCCAAAATGCCCAGTCTGTATAGTGTAAAAAGTGAACTTAAATAAAATTGTCTTTACAGCAATGATGTTTTGTCAATGTGCTGGAAGGAAAATCCTGAAGATCGCCCAGATTTTCAAAGTTTAAGGGACACACTCTACAAAATACTTTATTGTAAAGAAATCTCACAGGTATGCAATAAACGTATCTCATATATTGTAGACGTTATTCTACACAGTGTGACATATTCAGACTGAAAACTGGTTCAAAGTGAATCATCTAATATTGTAAATAAAAGCTAACTTGTGATAAAGATTTTACCGAGACGAATCAGGATTAAGTGGTTCAATTTAATTAAATCAGGTTGAAGACTCTTTCTAGATCTCACGCTCGTTCATTTGGTCATTCGTTATTTGTTAATAAGATCGTTATGAGAGTGCGAACTGATCTGTGCCTTCTGGCGGTGGAGGGAGCTAATTGAAAGGCCCCATGCCGCTCTTCCCTGTCTCGTACGCCTATGATGATTGTCATAATACCTTTCTTAACTCTAGACATCTGCATACAACGAAGAAATCGTGAATGGACCCTTGAAATCGAATGTCATTGCATCAGAGGAAGACGTCAACGAAAATGAACTATTGATATAAAATTATAAACCTATCTTGTCACTATTCACTATTGAACTATTTATCACTGGGACACTAAACAGCTTTTTTGGTCAACTTGCTCGATACATCTAACAGGAAATTTCGAACAGTTAGTCAGAATAAAATACACTTTTAGACCTAACCGGGAGCAGTTACGAAATAAGCAGCTTTATAACAAACGTACTTGCAGGGAGGTGAGTCCGGGATTGGACGCACCGAGGGTGGCTGGAAGTTTCCCGAACTTACCGAGCGAAGCGAGGTGAGTTCGGGAAACTTCCAGCCACCCGAGGTGCGTCCAATCCCGGACTCACCGAACCTGCAAGTACGTTTGGTTTTTATCCCATACACCGAGCCATACACACATTTGTAGCTCTTCGCGATATATTCGTCGATGTTTTGTGAACATTTTCCCGGCCAAAAAAATCACTGGGCAAGAAAATACTTCTTTATCTACGTCTACATTACCTTTACTGCATTTTTTCTTTGGTTTTTCTTCAGTCTCAGTATGTTAGTCACCGAAAAAAGTTCTTTAAAGTTTAGGTTTATCGGCTAAATCTTGTCCGCCATATTTGTTTAATATTGTTATTGCAACGTAAGCAGTTTAGCGGGTGAGTTCGGGCGAAAAGCAGGTGAGTTCGGCAAAAAGCAGGTGAGCTCGACGACAAGCTCACCTGCTCTAAACCAATCAGAAAGCCGCTTTTAACACACGTATGGGATAATATTTTTTATCATGCAGTCAGAATGAAGCAATCATTGGCTGAGCTAGGAGCCTTTCAGAGCGGGCCGGTTTTTTGCAACTGCCCGCTCTGAAACGCAACTGCACGCTGTGAAATGAAACTGCCCGCTCTTGGTTTTCGCTTCAAAAATCGAGGAGTGAAACAATTTTTAAACGAAAAAATATGCCCAAAACGTTTGAAAAGCGTAGCTTAGCAATAGTCAAAATACGAAAATGAATTGCATCAAGCCCTAAAGACTTCATACTATAAGCACGATGTACACCAGAATTGACAATATTTTGAGAGAAATGCGACTGAAAGTCGGAAAGTTATTTGACATGTATAAAACTTACGCCGAGAAAACAATACATTTATCTAAATCCTCGTGTATTCAGCCACTTAAAAGCGAAAGAATTAAAGCTTAAACAGATATTGTAAAATCAATGTTTTTCCATTTAGAAGAAGGTTTAACTGCAGCAGTGAAAACAAGTCACGAATATATTCTCTTCCATTTGTGTCAGACAGTTTTCACTGCATGATATAAATATTGTAAACAACGTAGAAGTCTGTGTTTAGAAACACTTTTTTCAAGCATATTATCGTGAAACGACCAGAAAAAGTACAAAAATATAAAAATAACATACCTTTTCCATTGTCCTTTTAGTAGAAAAACGTTGATTAAATCAAAACAGATTCGTTTTTATGTCTTTTGGAGTCGGACCTTCACATGAACCTGTCGTTGTCAGAAGCAACTGAATTTGTCAAAGCCAGGCTTAAAACTTTTTAATTTTATCCAAAGCTTCACTGCTACCATATTCATACATGTAAATTTTTATTGAAACTATACGTCCTTTTGTCTGTTTCTTGCCAGTTTTCTCGAATTTTCGTATTCTTGTTCTATATCTTTCAAGTTTCAACTCTTCAATTTTTGTCAACCTCGCATTAAAAATAAACAACTGCGCTGATCTCAAAGTAGCTCGCAAGCAACACTGGGATTTTAATGAATTTAATTTTTACATCTGATAAAAAATAAACACGTTATTTACCGGCAGCGTCGGTCCGGATGAGAAAAACTGTGCCCTCGGTGTTGAAAACTTTCAAGACCTCGGCCACAAGTAGAAAGTGTTCTCCAGTTTGTATTTCATAATTTCCATACCCAGCGTAAGCAGAAAGATAAAGTCTGCCGCGGCTGGGTCTTGAACCCGCGACCTTCGAATTACTAGATCGACGCTCTACCAACTGAGCTACACGGTCAGACGGATTTAAAACTGGAAATTATGAACAATATACTAAATGTCATAAACATACTCGTTTATATTAATTCAGCATCGAACAATACTAGTTCTGCAAGTGTTATGTTATGTTGTGTTATTGTTCACTCCGTAATATGATAAGTAGAAAATGTTCTCGAGTGTGTATTTCATAATTTCCATACCCAGCGTAACCAGAAAGATAAAGTCTGCGGCTGGGTCTTGAACCCGCGACCTTCGAATTACTAGATCGACGCTCTACCAACTGAGCTACACGGTCAGACGGATTTAACACTGGAAATTATGAACTATATACTGAATGTCATAAACATACTCATTTTCTGAAACCAGCTCAGGTATACATAGTCCAATTGTCCAGCTCTCAGATGGTTAAGGCGCTCCAACTCAATCCCAAAGCCGCAGGTTCGATTACCGCAAGAGGGCACATGGTTGCATTTTTCCCAGCTGCACCTGGTTAGGTCTAAAATGTACAGTATAATGTAATCTTGAACTCGAAAAAATTCTTGAACTACTTATCAGTAATTTGAATTATAAACTATTGATATATTTAATTAGAAAGACTATAGTACTTAATTTAAATAAACCACATACCTAAACGACAAAGTGTCAATGTGTCATTATCAACCACTGGCGTCAACGCGTGTCCTGCTTGATCAAATTATTGCGGTCACAAACTGCACGCTAAGACGAGCTAGATCGTTTTAACTGAACGTGCGTAGAATATACATGCTGGCGTGTAGGGAATATTAATGAGGAAAACTAATAAATTATTTCAAGATATTCTCCGCGAAGTTTTTTATTTACTTCACCACAAAGTTTCTGTTAAAGATCCGAGATAAAGAGTAGAAGTTTGAGATGAAGAAACGGTTAAAGATCCCGAAAAAATATTAGGGCACTCAAGCGTAATTAAGAACTATTTAAATATACAATTTCAGCGTTTTGTCGCAATAAATGAGTCGAAATAAATCAAAACAAAAGGCACCAAAAATTCTTGATTGAGCCCACATTGTCATGCAATAACGACTCAGCAACATCACAATTAGAGCGCATGCCCTAGTATACGAAAATGGTGGGGTTTAAACGTTTTGCCAGAGCTTCGTAACGGCAATACTATTTCCAATCTTTGAATACAAGTAGTAAGTATGCGCGGACGTTTAGGCCGTCACCTGTCCTGCTTTATCTTTCAAGTCCGTTGCACATGTC